GAAAGAAAGAAGGCTCTGTTGAACTGCATAGCCAACATTGAAGTTCAGCTTGGCTGCTATCTGCCTTCAAAACCTGAAGCTCTGGTGGTGGATATTGACAAGGAGACTGGCATTCCACTGCAAAGTGCCGCCAAGGCGCCCTTCTTGGCTCGATTCAAAGTGGTCTACTGTGGTCAGAATCAGCTGGAAAATGTGGCCATGAACTCCAACAATCGCGACACTGATTACCTGTGTTCACTTGGCCCTGTCCTTTGGCAGGCTGCCATCTTTAAAGTGGGCGACGATGTGCGACAGGTTCGTGACCACTTTACTGTTTGTTTTGTTTAACCAAATTATCCAATGCTTTTCCCCCTCACTTATGCAGGACATGCTTGCTCTGCAAATAATCAACCTGTTCAAGAACATATTCAAAAAAGTCGGCTTAGATCTCTTTCTCTTTCCGTACCGTGTGGTGGCCACTGCGCCTGGGGTGAGTTTACTGAACATTGCCTCGTTCTTTACCTACCCTCATTTTCTAACTTTAACCCTCGACATGCTCTATTACCCCTTCCCCCTCTTTCCCCATCAATCAGTGCGGTGTCATCGAGTGTGTCCCCGATGCAAAGTCCCGTGATCAATTGGGCAGAGAGACGGACACTTCGCTGTACGATTACTTCATAAAGACGTACGGAGAGGAGTCCTCTAGTCAGTACCAGGAGGCGCGCTCCAAGTTTGTCAAAAGTATGGCAGCGTACAGTGTGGTGGGCTTTCTGCTGCAGATCAAGGACCGCCACAATGGCAACATCATGATCGACAAAGAGGGGCACATTATTCACATCGGTGAGTGTTGGCTTGACTGTTTGCCCACTTTATGGCTCATAAACTTGGCGCGCTTACTACTCTTTTTTTCTATTAGACTTTGGCTTTATGTTCGAGAGTTCACCGGGTGGCAATTTGGGCTTTGAGCCCGACATCAAGCTCACCGATGAGATGGTGCAGGTGATGGGCGGCAAGATGGACTCGCCCGCCTTTCAGTGGTTCCAGCGACTGTGCGTGCACGCCTACCTGGCCGTGCGGCCGTACCGCGAGACGATCATCACGCTGGTGTCACTCCTCCTCGACACCGGTCTGCCCTGCTTCAGGGGGCAAACGGTGAAGCAGCTGACGGCTCGCTTCACGCCGACGTACAGCGAGAAGGAGGCCTCTGCGTACATGCTGCAGATCATTCGAGACTCATTTCTCAACTTTCGAACGCGGACCTACGATTACATTCAGTACTTTCAGAACCAGATTCCCTACTAGTCGCTCACTGTTTGGCGTCATTCGTAGCCACAATCCTCTTTCCTGCAACGTAGCTCTTGATTTTATTTTATTTATTTACGTCTCAGTCTGTTTCTTTATTACTGTTGTCCGGATGTTGTTGATGTTGATGATGTTCAGATTTACTTTACGATGTTGTTTTAGAGTGGAAAGAAGGTGTTGGTGGGCTAGCGCTTTGAACTATTACCCGTTTCCCCCTCTTGCCCCCTCATCTTCTCCATTTTGTTCTTCTATTTATTGTTACAAGCGTCGCAAGTGTTGAAGTGTTGCCCAATTAAAATACGCACTCGTTTTGCAGGTGGTGCAATCCATTCCATGCCAGCTGTATCACTGGCATCACTATCACAGCATCACTATTGACAGTTGATGTCATCATCATCTGCCACTATTGTCATCTGACAGATCAAGTGAGTAATACTGGCAATACAGTCGATACTACCTGCGCCAGTGCTGCTCCAATCTCAATTGCCCATTGATTGCCAACTAATTGTTTCTTTCTCTCATTCACAGTCTTTACTTTACCGGTAGCGGTTTCCCAGTGACAACCACCACTGACAATTAATGTAATGGAAATGGAGACATGCTGAGAGTGAGAGAGAGTCTGCCGCCGGCAAACAACAGCCACAACCATATGGTAATAAATCCTGAGCGAGAGTGAGCGGTCGTCGATAAAAAAGAGAGCAAAGAAAAAATAGGCAAAGAAGAAGGTGGTCGTGCGGAGAGAACAGTTTGCTGTCTTTCTCTCTCTTTTTCTCTGTTACCTGTCCTGGTGGTAGTGACTGGTGACGATTAAGATTGTGTGCCAAAGAGAGAAAGAGAGCACCAAACAGCCTCTCAACGAACCAATGGTATGTTGTTTCCTTTTTTGCAGCAGCAGCATTGTCTGCGCGCCGAGATTGAGGCGCTGACGGCGTCCACCTAACCAGCAAAGCCAAATGCTGTGCTGCTGCTGATGATGATCGTGACAGTGCCCTCGCCGTACTAATCAACAAGCCGGTCAAACAAATTTTGTTATTCTGCAAGTAATCGACGTCGCAGGTGTCTGTCTGCTTGCTTGCTTGTTTCCCTGCCTGGTCTTCAGTCGTCACCGGTCGTCATGATCATCAGCAGCGGTGCTGCCTGCTGAGAAGTAAATCTAGTTAGGCGCTCTACTCTCATTGGCGCCGTTCTGTCACACTCAAACTCAGTCTCTGCACTTCAGCTACTTCGGTTGCTGTCGCCGCCACCGCCACCACCACCACCACTGCTCATTTCCCCGCTCATTTTCTCTCCAACTCTGACTGAGTCTCTGGCACTGGCACTGACTGTGTCTGCACTCGACAGTCGGCATCGATGTCAGTCTGGCTGGCCATCGATGAATGTTTGGCCTCAGTTTGAAACTTGGCAGTCTTCACAACAGCCAATTGTCACTTTTGCCTAGTGCTTCACCGAATTGGCCGATGGTCACTCTGCACTTTGCCATTTGACAGAACAGTGACACACAAAGAGACCAGCACCAACTGACTGATGTGACACATTCAAGAAGTGCTTTTTGTAGCATCCGTTTTACTCTTCCCTCTGCCATCGTTTTTTCCAACATCATCACAGCACCACAAGCACTGACCAGCGTTCANCAGACCAGCACCAACTGACTGATGTGACACATTCAAGAAGTGCTTTGTGCTTTTAGTGCTTTTTGTAGCATCCGTTTTACTCTTCCCTCTGCCATCGTTTTTTCCAACATCATCACAGCACCACAAGCACTGACCAGCGTTCACCATGGCCACGCATCCCATCGAGCGAGTGCTCCATCCAAAGAACAGCCTTGACTCGGCGAAGGACAACTTTGAGAAGAACTTTGTAAGTTTTGCAACCGAACCGTTTGAATCAGTCGCAACGACGCAAACATGACACAGACAGTGTAAACTAATTCAGTGGCAACCTATTTGCAGTACACTAGCATCAGAAAGGCAATCAACAATGTGGAGTGTCCAGTGAAGGAAAAACACGTCCGAAGTGAGTGACGCAGTGTTCATTCATGCGACCAGCACAACAATAACAGCCAACTAAACAGGCGCCTAACTATGCTGTGATTTTTTTGTGCAAAACCTCCTTCTTAGGGATCCTAATCGGCACATTCCAAACCAAATCTGGCCTGGTCTTCTGGCGGTACGCTCGATCACTGCCCCTTGAGGAGCACCCAATCATCTGCTGGAAGTTCTGCCATGTCCTCCACAAGGTGCTCAGAGATGGACATCCGCGGGTGAGTGCACATAATCACAGAGACAGACACGCGTGCCCCATTTGTAGGCACACTTTCAAGTCACACTACTAATTACTGTTGCTGTTACTGCTAATTTGTAGGTCATTCAAGACTCACATCGCTTCAAGTCGCGATTGCTCGACTTGGGCAAAATGTGGGGCCTCCTCAAGCAGGGCTACGGCAAGCTCATTCAGAACTACTGCTCCCTGTTGGTCAACAAAATGGATTTCCACTACAGGGTAATGACTTGTCAGCACTCACTTCCTCTTCCCTACAATCAAAACAAACTGATATATGTTTTTGTTTACTCTATTTCTATCAACTGTCAACTGCCAATTCACAGAACCAACGCATTCCCGGTAACTTGATCATATCAAATAGCGATCTGGACAGTATTGGAGAGAACGACGTAAATGTATTGTAAGTGCACCATTGATTTTCCCTATTTTTAGCGGCGCTAATGAAGCTCACTTCCGCCTGCCTCTTCAATTGATTAGTTTTCAGCTGTGCTGTGAGATCTTTGACTACATGGACGAGATCTTGTGTCTACAGAACTACAGTAAGTGTCAACTCAGTGTCACTCGGTGACTGCAATACCGCAGTGATTTGGCAAAGATTGATGATAAATGTTCTCGCTAACTCTTCTCCACTACCATAAATAGTATTCAGCTCCTTGGACATGAGTCGATCAAATTCGATGACATCATCAGGACAGTGCCGTCTGGCGCCGCTGATAATGTGCATTCAAGACTCCAGTCAGTTGTACGATTTCACAGTAAAGATCCTCTTCAAGTTGCACTCATGTAAGTTGGTGTGATACCCACTGGGGGTGGCCTTCAACGGCCATTGATATATCTCGCCAATCACTGACTCACTCTCTCGCTCACAGCTCTGCCACCGAGCACTTTGGAAGGCCACCGGGATCGTTTCCTCAATCAGTTTAAATTGTAAACATTTTGCACTTTTGTTGTTGTTGTTAGTTTTACTCACCGGTTTTTACTTCCTTCCATTTCATTAATAGATTGAAACAATTTTACTACAATTCAAAGAATTTACAGTACTTCCGTACACTGATTCAAATTCCCACATTACCAGATGTAATTTTTTGCATTCAGTTTTAAGAATATTTAAATGACAATTTTGTTTTTCAATTGCAGGATCCACCAAATTTTTTCATTCAGTCAAGTTTGAGCAATCACGTGACGCCGGTTGTCATTGTTCCACAACAAGAGGAAATCGATACTGATTCCAATTTGCTCGATCTCACCTTTAATGATGTGCGTTTTATTTTATTTATTTTTGCTGCTGAACTAACTTAATATACTTTTCAATTTAGAATGACTCTGACAAGGGTGATGCCGTCTCGATGTGGTCATTCCAGGAAGAAAGTAAACCAGAGATTCACGAACAAAGTATCATTATGGAAAAGTAATTACAGCAGTATTTACAGCATTTTTATCAGTAGCAAATCAGTAATTTACTCGATTTACTTAAAACAGAGATCGTATCATTGAAAAGCTGATGGGACGCATTGAAGAGCTGGAAATTGACATTAGGCGAACTAAATTAGATGTATGCTACTTGTGCTCATAAAGCGGAAATTGAATTTATTGATTTTTGTGAATTTTAACAGGACGAACGGAAAATTGATGAGTTAAAACGATCAATCGCCGAACTGGAATGCGCCACAGCTCAGCGGATGGAAAGGGAAATTGAAGGGCTCAAACAAGAGCTGGAGAAGCAAAAAGTCAGCCAAGTCAGCAATGAGACGGAAGGACAGGTGGCTATTGTTACGGAAAAGTTTACCAAGATGAAAGACTTTTACAACAAACTTCGCTCAGAGCACATTGAGCTTATTCGAACAGTAAGTTTTTATATGTTCATTAATCATCAACACTAGAAGTAAATTTATTTTTCGCAGAAAGCAGAATGCGATAGACATCTCACCGCCGCCAAGGCAACCATTGAAGAGCTACAAACATCAAAGGAGGTACAGTAAATCACTTTACAGGGAATTATTAATTTTACTCTTTATTTTTAAACGTTTAGACACTAGAGAGCCAGCTAAAGGACAACACTCGCAGGGAGGTGGAAATGTCAGTAATGAGCACACAGAAAGCTGAAATGCTCGAGCAAATGTCCACTTTTAGAGAGCAGTGTAAGACTCTGACGCAAAAGCTGGAGAACGTAGAGACTGAACGTAAACTGATTGCTGACAAACTGAACAAGGCTGAACAGCAAATTGAGGCTCTAAAGCGTGAAATGGCCAAAATGACTGAAGACAGTAAAGCTAATCTCACTCAGGGTTTCAAGCAGTTTATCAGTGAGTTACTTTCTAGATTTGTATTTTATTGATTTACAACTTGAAAATTTTATTTACAGCTCAATTTATAGCAAAATCAGTTGACGCTTCCAAGAAGATCATTGACCAGGACCTGGAACTGGGCTTTGCCTCTGTCAACTGTACCCCTCAGTATTTCTGTTCGCAAATTGATATTTTAATTTCCAAGCTTGGCGCCTTTGAAACGGCCATCCTCAAAACTGAGTATTCTCTGCCACTCTTTCTCGTTGCATTCGACTTTTACTATCAGCTATTCTACACAATGAACTGCTCCAAAACGACAATTCAAAGTTTGCCCAACATTGAACTTTCTGATGGTGAGTAGAAGAAGGAGATGTGTACCCTTGCAGTCTGTTAACACTTATCACTGTTTCAGAACTACTGGCCAAATGCGTTCAGTTTATCAGCAGCAACTTTGAGCTGTCCACCAGTATTGACCGGGACTTTAGCAATGCCGCCAGTGCTGTTGAGAAGGTGAAAGAGTCGCTGAAGGCGATGCAGCAAGTGTCACTCTCCACCATTCCCGAGTTTGTCAGCAACAAAAACTCTGACTTGGAAACTCTGCTAAAAACAGAAATGGAGCAGATGGACCGCGCTATACTCGAGGCGGAGAAGAAAATTGAGCAGATGATGGCCGCGGCTAAGAAAGACACTGGAGTTAAGCTCGAAGTGAATGGCAAAATTCTTGACGCCTGCACTTCGTTGATGCAAGCTATCAAACAGCTAATTCAGGATTCAAAGCAGCTTCAGCTGGAGATTGCTGCCAAAGAGCGGGTGAGTTTTTCTTTTATTTAGACCCGTGCTAAACTTGATACTCATGACATTCTTTTCACACTTGTCACACTCAGGGCTCATCCTCAATGAAGGAATTTTACCAGAGGAACCACCGATGGACAGAAGGCCTCATATCGGCTGCTAAAACGGTCGCCGCCGACGCCAATCTTTTAGTGTGAGTGTGACAGCCTCTTGTTCTCATTGCCGTTTTTGCGCATCCTTATATCATCATGCTAACATGTGACATTTTGCGCCCAAACCAGTGAGACTACTGACAAGCTTATTCGAGGCAATGGCAAATTTGAAGAGCTGATGGCAGCGTCACAGGAAATTGCCGCCGCCTGTGCTCAACTGGTTGTTGCCTCGAGGGTGAAGGCCAGCTCTTCCAGTGAAAACTTGGCTCGTCTGTCCAAGTCTTCAAAGGCGGTCCTCACGGCTACCGGAAATGTCATTGCCACTACTAAACACTGCAACAAACTGATTGAGGAGTCAGGTGAGTGCTTGCTGTGCTGCACTAAACAAAATGAGTAGAACCACAAGAACTATTATTTTCCTATTTTAGATGTGACGGACTTTTCTAAGCTGACCTTGCACCAGGCGAAACGCCTTGAAATGGAGTGCCAGGTGAAGGTGCTCGAGTTGGAGAATCTACTGGAGAAGGAACGACTGAAGTTGGCGTCCGTTCGTCGAACTCACTACCACCTTGCTGATTCACTGGGCACCTCTATAAAAAAGGAAGAGGAGTAAGATTGACCTTTTATCCTCAACTTCCATCCTACACGTGCATCTACCCTCCAGTCAGTAAGTCAGTCAGACAGGCAGATAGTTTGCCTGCCTGTCTGTTAGTCAAGTTGAGCCATCCACTAATGCAAAAAACAATCCCAATAGTCACAATGAGCAACTGTATTAGTCATTTTTACACCGTTTTTACCGAATGTAATTCTTTTCAATTTTATACCACTATTTCCTACTTTTTATAAAAATTCTATGTGATTTCATGCATTTTACAAAAAAATATGCGTGCACTTTTTCCCTCTTACTGAAACCGACATTCTCGAGTTTGATTGAACTCATGCACTTTTCTGCTGCCTCTTGTTTGTTTGTTCGCCTGTCGCTTGGTGAATTGTCTTCTGCACTTCGTCAAATGTGCGCAATATGGTGCAGGAGGAGAGGGAGAGAGGGCTGAGTCAAGATTTCTTGAACACAAACTGTGGATCCTGCTGTTTTGACACTTGATGTCTGCCGGAGAATCCAAGTGCTTGCCCAGCCATTCGATGGCTTCATTAGAAGAAAAAGGCTACTAGTTGACTACTTGAGCTACTGTTTAGCTGACGACTAAAAACTTTTCTCTGATTTCACAGCATGCTTCTTGTGGGCTGAAGACTGAAGCTGATGAGCTTGCTGTTGTTGTTCACCTTTGTGATGATGCTGGTGAACATAAGAGGACTAAAGTCTCTCTTTCTCCCTGTGTGCCTTACTTATCAAGGAGTGTACAGTGCATTGGCAGGCAAGTAATGATGGCAGCTAATAATGATGCACTGATGTAATGGAAGCAGTAATGGTACTAGAGCGCTTCCCTCTCTCTCTCTCTCTCTCTCTTTCCCCTCTATTTTAACGTCGTGTTTGTGATGCCAGAAGGATAAATAAACTTTGCTCGAGAATTGAAAAGTCGTTGTCATGTTTATCTAACGGCAGAAAATGGCAAACGATGGCTTGCCTTGCCTTGCCTTGGGGAGGGATCGAGAGAGCGAGGGGCCGCACGCGCCGCGCAAAGTATTCGGATGGGGAGAGAGATGTTACATTGAGATGAGGCTGAGCACTCAGGATGATCATCATCAGTCCACCACTACCACCACCACTACCACCATCGCCAGTTCTGTGTGTGTCTAGACTTTGCAGAAAAAGGAGGACGGCCTGGTCTCTCTCTTTCCCTAAACTGCCACTCTCCGCTACCGCTAGAGAGTAATAAATGGAGATTATTTTTCAAATCCTTCAGCAAGTCGGCCATATAGACCGACAACTCTACTGTGTTTAGCCGTCTGTCGGCCACTGAGCCTGAATGAATGAATACACTTCAGTGCTTGATAAATTTGCTCGATATTCTATTTTTATGAATCTTCTTTTTGCTACTAGCCTAGCCAGGGGCAGAATCTCAATCGGCGAGAAGTGCGCCAGAGGAGGAATTGTGTTTTGCGTGCGGCAGAAAAAAATGAGGAAGAGGTTGAAGCTTTCTTGAGCAATGCCATGCGATGAGCCGTCGATGGTCGAGGACGACGACGACGACGACGATGGGGGATGAGATCATTTGAGTATAGTTCACTAGTTCGGTAGTGGTAGTGCATTATGGTAGCCATTCTCCAAAGCTTCAACACACCGACGACACGGGCAGACAGGCAATTGAAGTGGAAGCAATCGGCAATGAACTGCTGTTGCTGCTGCTGTGCAATCACTGCGCACTGCACCGGACCAAATCATCGACTGCCACTTGATGCACATGATGCACTTTCTTTGTTTGAGCATCGGTGCAAACACCACCAAGTTTATTGGCCACTGAATGTTCTCTTGATCGCTCTCTTTGTTCAGTTCTCTTTAATTGCCCCTTTTAATGTTGTAGAAAGCATCCAAGAACAAGTGATCTCTTTTGTCTTTAATGCCACTCATCGATCGCTCGCACAGCTGCATGTAGTGTAAAGGGAGAACATGATCGTCTTATTGCTAAGAAGAAGAGTTTCAAGTTACCGAAAGCTCTGGTTGAGCGCTTCTTTACTCCACTTTCGGTCGTTATCCGCAAATCACCACAATAACTAAATTGCCCAGCTGTAAAAGTGTAGGTAAGTACGACTGCATCGTTTGTATTTGTATTTGTGTTATGACTGTTTGAGTAATATAAATCGATTCCACTTCCTCCTATAAATGCAAATTTATGAGAACGTCAACTGGCACTGGCACTCTTGAAGGAAAAGTGCGGGCAATGTGGTTAAGACATTTATTGGCAGACACATGTGACATGGAGAGAGCACAAGCATCAGCAGTAGTAGTAGCAGTGGCAGTGACTTGTCCCCCGTTCGTTTGTGTGTCATTTGTTTGCTGTCCACCAGACACCGATAGCAGGGACAACAATATCCGCAACAAGCACACGCAGACAGACAACTTGAACAGCCATTTTTCTCCAATGGCAATCTCTACAAATAGACTTGTCAAACGCTAGGGGACAGGATTGGCGTGTGCTGGTGCAGCTACTGCTTTCTTCTAATGCTGCTGTTGCTGTCGCTGCAGCACTTCACTCGACCGTTTTCCGAGTTAATCGTTGCTACTTTAGAAAGCCTTCAACTTGGCCACTGACTGCACAGGCCGTCTAAGGTTTCAAGGGTTCTTTAGGCCGTCAGGGATCGCTGACACACACACACACACACACACACACACACACTGTGCCTAATTCGCAATGATTCATCTAGTCTGGACTCATCAGTTGTCTGACTCTCTGTGAGGTCACACAGTGGCTAAGTACACAGTGAAACAAACGGACAGACGACGGAGAAAGAGAGCAAAAGTAGTGGGAGTGGGAGAGAATGAGTCCTCGTGGCTCGTGCGACCGCCACTGCGACGCGTCAGACCACATCGAGATCGGTGCTGATTCTCATCCTTAAAAGTAAAAAGCATTTGTTCGACCGGCAAACTAACTGTTCAATTCTAGTCATCCACTTAGTCGATTGAATAATTCAGTGCAATGCAGTGCCACCAACAACGTACCATCAGCACCACCACCGCCTCTTCAAACAGCTTTCCCGACAGTTTCGGTGGTGTACAGTGTTCCAATGAAACTATGACTGCCTGGAATCGACTGCTGCCGGAGAAGTACGCCTACGATGGTGGTGATGTTCGACACCCGAGTGAAATGGCCAATCGATTCGCCTACTTTGCAGAGATGCAACACCAGCTCTGCGTCGCCAACTACAGCTCAATCTGCGAGGCCAGGTACAGTGCAACAAGTGCGACCGCTGATAATGGCTCACAGTCGACGACCGCGACGACAAGGAAGCAAAATGATGGGGAAACGGAGGAGACAGACCAGTCACAGCTCAATGAAAAGCTATGGGCCGTTAGAGGGTGTCTGGAGATGAAGTGCCTCTGGGATGAGTTTAATGAGCTGGGCACTGAGATGATTGTCACCAAAGCGGGCAGGTAAATGTCATCAAAGTTTTTAAAACTTGAAAACCAAATAATTATTTCCTCCTGTAGACGTGCATTTCCCACATTTCAGCTAAAACTTCGTGGAATGGACCCAGAGGCAGAGTACATTCTCATGATGGACTTTGTGCCGGTTGATGAGAAGCGATATCGCTATGCCTTTCACAGGTAATGGAAATTAAAACCTTTCACTTGAGGTTAATTTGGTGCCCTTGTCGTACAGCTCAAGTTGGGTAATGGCAGGCAAAGGCGACCCTAGTGCACCGCCGAGAATTCACATTCACCAGGACTCGCCGGCAAAAGGCTCGCACTGGATGAAGCAGACGGTCTCATTCGACAAACTGAAGCTCACCAACAATCAGCTTGATGATAATGGCCATGTAAGTGTGTGCCCGGGTTTGCAAGTCATTTTCCCAATCTCACACTTTTTTATCTTAGATCATTCTCAACTCTATGCACAGGTATCAGCCAAGGTTTCACGTCATCCTCGGCGGCAGCGAAGGAAGAGGAGGGGGCCCAACTAAGGGCAAAAACTTTAAAACATTTCTCTTCACTGAGACGCAGTTTATTGCAGTGACCGCATATCAGAATCACAGAGTAAGTCACGGGGAAGTAAAGCAGAGGCAGGGTAGTGGTGTCGGGGGCATGCAAATAAATACTAAATGATGATAATAAAAACAACAACAACAAAACCGCATTCTGATTGCAGATAACTAATCTAAAAATAGCCAGCAACCCCTTTGCAAAGGGCTTCAGGGACTGCAGTATGGATGAGTGGTAAGTGCAAAGCAGATGAGAGAAAGGGGGATGGTGTCGTGAGAATGCGTCCAAGCTAATTTCCTTCCCTCTCTCACTCCTTTCGAGCAGCAATGTCCATGAGGTGCCGAATGCGAATGGCAATAGTAGCAGCAACAGCTACGGCCAGTGGACAATTGGCAGCAATGCTGGTGCAGCTGGCCGATGTGCAGCCGAGTACAACAGGAGCAGCAGCAGCAACAATAACAATGGCGATGGTGATGGCGGAGGTGAACAGTAGCGAACATAACAGGCTAATTAAGAAACGATTCGGCAATGCTGCTCTTTTTCTCATGATCGTCCGCCACCTGCAGACCGGTTACTCCCTTGATTCGGCGGTACTTCTGCCGAGACAGCTCTACATTGACCTCTTTCGGAACGTCTGGCACAATGTACCACAAGAGGAGAATCAGCCCGAAAATAAAATGCTGTCAAAAGAGGAGAAAGGGAGAGGAAGAAGAAATCACAAACGGCAGAAGTGTGAGTCATTAGTTGAAATATAGAAAAGATGCATTAGATAGAAATGCACCAACAAAATACCTCAGTGTAAATAATAAACTCAAAAGTAGACAATTGAAAGTAACCGCTAAGCTCTTGCACTGGCTGGGAGACAAGGGACAGCACGAGGAGATTACTGATAACCACCAGCATGGAAATTACTTCAAATGATTTCTACGGGAGTGGCAAAGTTGATGAACTGATTTCCGCAAACAAATCTAACATACCATCCAGGCGTTGTTCACTGACTTTGCCGATCGCTGACGAGGCTTGCGCATGGCGACACACAGCTTGAATGCATCCAATCGCACCTCGAGAATGGAGTTGATGGCGGCAATTACCGGCGCCAGCGGGAAGATGGAAAAGAAGAGAAATGCCATGCCATACTGAATAAAGAGCTCCAGGTAGTCGTAGTAGGTGTCCTCGTACTCACAAAGCTCCTTCTCGTAATGAATTCGAGCAAGATCGCCCTGCAAATCACCGTCACTTTTCTCTTTTCTTAAAGCTCGGTTTTTGGCTCGACTTGACAGATAGACTGTAGACAGTGGTAGAAAAGTTTCTAGAAAGTTGTCCACCAGTTGGTTAATGGTCAGCATAGTCATCAAGTTCTGTTTTGTGAAGTAGATCATGTTAAAAGAAGATTGCCTCATAAAAAGCAATCAAAAACTAACCCATCTGAGCATATTAATGTCCTTCAAATAGAAAGCAATGTAAAAGAGACTCAAGAAACTATTAAAAAACTCGAACTGCAATAGAGAGGGGAAAACAGTCAGTGATGAGAGGAAGGTAATTGAAGTGGGGTGAAAAGAAAAAAAAATTACCAAAACGAGCTTCACAATCCAATGATTCTCATGAGACGTCTGTGTGCGGTGGTTTTCTGTTTGTGTGCAATAGTAAAAACCACACAAAATGGCGCAGCAAATTGGTTATTGTTATGATTTAATACCAGGCTCCCTTTCAATTACCGCAGCCCTGCCAGTCTCCACTTACCGTAGTCATTCAAACGAGTAGCAAAGTGTCTGTAGAAGTGGTTCATAATCATGACAATCACAGCGTAAGTTATACTGGGACAGTAGCTCAGGATGGTGCCCAACAAACCCGGGTCGCTGTTGTAGTACTCAATGGCCAGGTTTTCCGTCGCAAAGTAGAGGCACATCACCTCAAAGGAGATGAAAAGGCAGCAAAGAACAAAAGGAACGGAAATCAGATAGAGATTGAACCAGGTTTTGATGATGGGATAAAAAGGGACTAGCTGATCAGTGACCGGGTCTCTCTGCATGCCCTTGCTGCGAAACGCCGGTCTGGCAGTTTCAAGCTCAAATGACTCAATGGTGCCCCATTGCGTCGCCAGGCGATTTGACTCGCGTTTCCATAACTTGAGAAAAACAAATAGAGAAATGCAGAGTATCACGGTGATTGACTCGTTGACCATAAACAGGTGGCCGAAGGTGTAGGAGAGAAATGATAAAATACTCGAGAAAATGAAGAAGGCACTGTAGAAGTTCAAAAAGGAGTAGTAAAAGCCAATCTTTTCACCAAAGTAATTCCGGACAGAATCTGCAAAAACACAATAACACTGAAATCAGAAGTGTCTTTAAAGATTGTACACTTACCTATGTCGTGTACAAAAGCAGAGCACAAGTTGGCTTTTAAAGCTTTCAACGTGTTGATTTGGTGAAGGGGAAAGTAGTGCAGAATCACCTGTTCTCGGTGACATATTTGCACTGTAAACAAAAAGATGTCATTAGAATATTCCCAAAAATTACAACTTTTTACCAATTGATTGTCCCGGATACAGTGTCACCTTGTCAAGACCCACCAATTGGGAGCGCTCCTTCTGGATGATGGACTCCAGAATGTGCAGTAGAATTCGCTCCTGTTCGGGAATCGACAAACTGTCATCCTTTGCAGAGGACTGTCGACGAAGCTGCTGAGGCACATAGACCTGACTGGCAAACGCCTGCAGAACGTCCAAATCACAGGTGACGAAGAGAATCAGATTTTCGGAAGTCTTATCAGGCGAGTTGATAGGCGAGACGTTCAGCCGACTTTCCGCAAGCTTTTTCTGCAGAAATGCCTTCGTACTGTCAGGTGCTCGTCTGTTCAGAACAAAAACATAGCCGGCAGTGTCGAGGTTGCTGACCCTGTCTGTGCTGGCGACTTGGCTTTGCTCAGGCCCACCAGTTGCTTCCTTCCCTCTGAACTTCAGATCCATTTTTGGTGGCTCTCTTTGGCTCCGTCACTCTTCGCTCTACAACTACTAATTCATAGTGGGTTTTGTTGTGTTCAGTGGCAATAATAATTACACGACAGACAAGCAGAAGCGGTTTTCTGCGCAAACTCAAACTTCAAGCTCATTGCTCTTGGGCGCGCGAATTCGCCTCTGCTGCAGTCACTCTTGACAGCTAGCCAAGCTGCAACAAGCGGCGACAGAAAGAAAAGAAAAGTGTCTCCAGCAAAATCAGCGCTACTGATTTTCTGTCCCTTTGCCATTTCAAGAATCACAGAATCAACTGCTGGCTGCCAGGGAGTAATCAGTGGGCGCAATCGGCGGCAGGAAAGAAAAAGAGAAACAGAATACTGCCGCCCCTCTTCCAGAAGGCAGTTTTCAATTTCAAGCAAGAAAGAAACTCATTCTGGCAGCTAAAATTACTTTCTGGAAGCACTGGTAGAACGAACTCTTCGTCTGAATATGCTTCTTTGAGAACTTGCTCCCCGCTTCAGCTCGTACGAATCACTACCCTCTGTGTCGTCGTCCGAGAGAGAGAGAGAGAGAGAGNATTTAATTGTCTCTTGCCCGGATTCTTCAAGACACAGAGAGAGAGAGAGAGAGAGAGAGAGAGAGAGAGAGAAAGATGGTGAGAGGGAGAGAGAGAGAGAGAGAAAGATGGTGAGAGGGAGAAAGAGTCAGAGGCCTTCCTTGGCGTCCGGAGATGCAAGAGAACTCTCTCAGACGATGGGGAGAGTAAGCGAGCGCCGGGCAATGATGCGAAAAGAAGACGTCTTCTCCCAAGTGAGATGCAGAGAATGAGAGAGGCAGTGTGCGTTGCGTGCCGCTGCTACGAACAGACAGCTGTTGTGTTGTGGCGAAAGCATGCTTGCCGCGGCAGCTTTGTTGATTTCTCAGTCGGCACTTGGCTCCAACTGATTTGAACACGTTGACCACCGTTGTACAGTGCTGACTCACTACTTCAGGTCGAATCATCTTATCAGCAGGACAGCTCCGCTCACTTTGTTTCAGCAGAGAGATAAGCCCTTTCCTATTTCAAGCCTCCTCTGTCAGTCGTTGCTGATCAGTGTGCAGATTTTACTGTACGTGTACGATTTTGCCGTACCTTTTTTATCGGCTGCAAGGCCAACCAGAAGACCGCACACCTCCAAATATTGCTCAAGCTACTGTGAAATCACCTCCTTTTTATCATTTCTTTTATCCTCTTCGAGCCTCTCTATCTACCTATTGCTTCTCTCGGTGTCAGTCAACCGAAGCAGCCGATTTGTCGTCTTTTACTCTGTTTTTTCTCTCTCTCTCTCTCATCGCCGAATGCCGACCAGCTTTTGGTAAGTGATTGCTCGATCTGTTTATGACCATTTTAGCTTCTGTTTCCTATTTGCCCAGCAATTATTATCCTCCAAAGCTTAAGAAAAAAGTATGCATTTACTTTGTTTTTTCCAAGCGACTACGGCGGTATCTTCAGTGCTGCTGAACTCATTTGTAATTACCGTAATTCGAATGATTACCAGTACTAGTACAAATTCGAGTTGCCTGCCTCCATCAGTTCCCGGCTTGTGCGAAATTGCTCAGCCATCTGTTGATTGATTGTCCTCACTCCTCCTCATCTAGTTCTTTGTTCTGTCTTTAGTTTCCCAGCCATCAATGGATAACTTTAATAACTATTTTTATGCTTGCAAATTAGTTATTGTCAAGTGCGAAGAGAAGGCATTCGTTCTGGGCGCACACCAGGACGTGCTAATCGCTCTAATCGCGTTCTACTACTTTTGTCGCCTTCTTTTATTAATAACCTTCTTCGCTAGCTTCTGCACTTTATGATTCTCTTTGGAAGTGCATCTTCTGAAGTTGATGAAGAAGGAGCTGCGAAAAAGCTTTTTGTCGACGACGACTGCTGCTGCTGCTGAAGTCAACCAATGACCACAGTGTGAGCTAGTTATTTTTATGCACACTCGCACCACAAAAACACAAACCTCCTGCAAGAAGGTTCATCAGGAGGAAAGAGAGAGACTTGGCAGAGATAGTGCTTGTGGTGTGGGTGCTTCCAATGTACTGCAGTTTCTGCTGCTGCAGCTGTAAGCTTCCTCTATTCCCTCTTCCCATACTTGCAGCAAGTATCCGTTCAGTGCAGTGTGCACTGTGTCGACTGGTGCAGGCGAAAGTGACCACCATCAGCAGCAGTCATTCATTTCCGCCTACCCCTCTTTGCCCTCTCTTCATTAATGCAATGCACTGCTGTTGCATTAATTGTCCTCCTCTTTACAGGAGACTAAGCCTTTTATTGTGTGATTTCAGCAGAAGGGAGAGAAAGCTCACACTTGGTCAGAGACATCCTGACACAAATTATGACGTTCGCTCTTCTCACTTCTCAATGCAACATGTCGAGTCAATTCTGTGCGTCCCGCTGTGTGAGCGCCCAGCTTTGCGGAGGTGTCCGTCTGCCTGATAAGTGCCACAGTAACGGGGGTGGTCTCTTCCCATCCCATGTTGCTCTTGCCGTCTTCTGCACCAATGTTGGCCAACACACATCGAACAGGCCGAGAAAGAGAAGAAGCAGGAGAAGGAGAGAAACAGATTGTCAATTAGGCGCCATAAAAGTGTGCTTGTGTGGGCAACACACGGTAACGAGCTGAGTACCACTTGTGCAGGATTGTGTCACTGCTGCTGCTGCTGCTGCGGTGGCTGTAGTGAATGTCGCCAGTGTGGTGATGATGATGATTTTGCTTGTGCTTTACTAATGNCATCGAACAGGCCGAGAAAGAGAAGAAGCAGGAGAAGGAGAGAAACAGATTGTCAATTAGGCGCCATAAAAGTGTGCTTGTGTGGGCAACACACGGTAACGAGCTGAGTACCACTTGTGCAGGATTGTGTCACTGCTGCTGCTGCTGCTGCGGTGGCTGTAGTGAATGTCGCCAGTGTGGTGATGATGATGATTTTGCTTGTGCTTTACTAATGAGAGCCACCATGCTGAAGTGCAGTGTTGGCGATCAAGTGGCGAGGACAGAAAGAAAAGGGGCCAACCGAGCGACTGCAGCGAGGCAACACACTCACTTGGTGTGCATTATTAATCGAAATTATTCTACGGCACAGCCTGCTGGCCAACATTGCCACAACCAGCAGGAGAAGTGGCAGTAAGCTGGTGCACCGTATAAGGCAATAGGGAGTTGAGGACACGGCAACATAGTAACACATGCTTGTTGTGCTTATTACTTCACTCGACACTACCAGCGACACTTAGCCACCGACTATCTGTAGCAGCAGCAACAGCATTGTCTCGCACTTGCCTACCAAGTATTGCCGATTCTTTCTATCTTTCTCTTTCTATAGTTGTCTCCATCTTTGCCTCGTCTACTGCGGCCTGGCCAGGTACTGTCAGCTGTCTCAGCATCAGTTTTGCCAACAAAAGCAGCAGTGCCGGCGGCACTACTTTAGCCTGATTCTGTCTGCACAGCTGTCTGCTGCACTCTTGCCGGCACTTGTTGGTCACTGGTGTGTGTGAGTGTGTGTGTGCAAGTGTGTCAGTAAAAGACGACAGTGTCAGTCATCGAAATGATTGCTGCTGCCGTTGATGATAGCTGTCATATCGAAGTGTAAGTGTTTTTTACGACAAAGAGCTCATCCATTGCTCGAGTAATCTCGCTCTCTCGTATAATCGCCGCCGTTGCCGTTCAATCCAATCTCTTTCTCTCACTCTAATTTGCCTCTTGTCAATGGTCCCCCCTTTGATGAGTTGGTTCTTCCTTCTCTTTTATTTTTTCTCTTCTTTTATGTTTTGTCTGTTGCAGTAGTCTTTCAATCACACACATACACACACTCATTTTTAGCTGTAGGCCACAGGTAGGTAGACTGCCCATAAAATAGTTATCGGATTCCGCTCTTATCACTGCTGCAGACGATTGACGTGTTTAGGTGGTGCTTGTGGCAGTACTGACCATCTAAGATAGTTGCCGAATGCCGCTATCAAAGGGGATACTGTAGCTGTTCTTGGAATCCCTCTCTCTACACCCTTGCATCTCACCCAACTGATCAGCCTACCTGTTTTCCCCTGACAGCTGAGCGTCATTGTTGTTACCTTTGCCAGTCAACAAGATGGAAACCTTGGATAATTTGCACCAGCGTGACAAGGTCGGAGTGGACGACTTTGTTCTGCTAGAAAACTTTGAAGATAAGGATGCCTTCCTGGAGAATCTCCGCAAGCGCTACAAGGAGAATATTATTTACGTAAGACTTGTTGTTTGTGTGATTTTAAGGTTTTGATTGTAAACGGTCAATTTTGAAAATTGCAGACTTACATTGGTCAAGTGCTGATCTCGGTCAATCCCTACAAGGATCTAAACATCTACAATCGCAACNCTTGTTGTTTGTGTGATTTTAAGGTTTTGATTGTAAACGGTCAATTTTGAAAATTGCAGACTTACATTGGTCAAGTGCTGATCTCGGTCAATCCCTACAAGGATCTAAACATCTACAATCGCAACTACATTGAGAGCTACCAAAATGTCAACTTTTACGAACTTGCGCCACACATGTAAGTGCATTTGAATAAAAGCATACATCATTTTACATAATCTGTATCCTAGATTTGCCATCGCTGACGCTTCGTACCGCCAAATGGTGGACGAATGCCGTGACCAGTGCATTCTCATCTCCGGCGAGAGTGGCTCCGGAAAGACGGAGGCGTCCAAGAAGATTTTGCAGTACCTGGCGGAGATTAGCAGCCACGATTCGGCGATTCAGCACGTGAAAAACAAGCTGCTGTACTCGAATCCAGTGCTGGAGGCCTTCGGCAACTCGAAGACTAGTCGCAACAACAACTCCAGCCGCTTTGGCAAGTACATGGACGTGGAGTTTGACAATCTGGGCACTCCCACTGGCGGCCACATTAACGTCTACCTACTGGAGAAGTCACGCGTCGTCTTTCAGAGTCGAAATGAACGCAACTTTCACATCTTCTACCAAGTGCTCAAGGGACTAGACGAGGAAACGCTCCTCCGACTCGGCCTGCGACGAGACCCCGCGGACTACTTTTACCTGAATCAGAACCTGGACACGTCCGACGACTACACCGCCAATGAGGCGGAGCAGTTCAGGGTGGTGCGCGAGGCCTTTCGCCACTTTGAGTTCAGCGAGCAGGAGGAATTTAGCATGCTCTCCATCATTGCCTCCATTCTCCACCTTGGCACGGTGGGCTTCTACGAGGAGGACGACGGCGACCACCAGGCGGTCATCTCCAACCTGAAGCCGGTCAACCTGATCTGCCAGCTGCTGGAGTGCGACCCGGAGATGCTGAAGAAGGCCCTCACCCACCGCACCATTGAGGCTCGCGATGAGTCACTGCCGACTGGTCTGAACCGCGAGCAGGCCATCTACGCCCGCGACGCCCTGGCAAAGGCCATCTACGAGCGACTCTTTCTCTGGCTGGTGAGCAAGCTCAATGACTCGCTGAAGAACAAAAATAAAGCCAAGTCCGGTCGCAATCTGATGGGTCTGCTGGACATTTACGGCTTTGAGATCTTTGAGAAGAACCACTTTGAGCAGTTTTGCATCAACTACTGCAATGAAAAGCTGCAGCAGCTCTTTATTGAGCTGACGCTCAAGTCGGAGCAGGAAGAGTACCGACGAGAGCAAATTGAGGTACAGTTTATCTCTTTTGTTGTAAAGTTTCCAAAGCTAACCAAATGTGTATTTCAAAAACAGTGGGAGCCCGTCAAGTACTTCAACAACCAGATCATTTGCGATCTGATTGAGCAGCGCCACAAGGGCATCATTGACTTTCTAGATGAAGAGTGCCTGCGCCCTGGTGAGCCGAATGATTTTACCTTTCTCGCCAAGCTGGAGGAGAACCTCGGTCAGCACTCTCGCATGGCACTGGTCAAAGGGCTCAACAACAAGAATCGCAATAATGCCGTCACTGATGTATGATATGCTTAAAAGATGATGATGATAAGGAGGCTTTTAACTAACAAACTCTTCCCATTACAGCAATTCAAAATCTCGCACTACGCCGGAGAGGTGGTCTACGACGTGACCGGCTTCATCGACAAGAACAATGACCTGCTGTTTCGTGACCTGAAGAAGGCGATGTGCTCCTCGAAGAGCGTCATCATCAGTCAGCTGTTCCACGCGGACGAGCTGAGCAACCTTCGCCGTCCGACGACCACTGCCACCCAGTTTCGCCATAGTCTTTCCAATTTGATGAGCTTACTGAAGTCGAAGCAGCCCTGGTACATTCGCTGCATCAAGCCGAACGAGCACCAGATGGCCCACTCCTTTGACACCCGGATTGTCAGCCACCAGGTGCAGTACCTGGGACTGATGGAGAACCTGCGAGTGCGCCGAGCGGGCTTTGCCTACCGCCGAGAGTACGAGCAGTTCCTCGAGCGCTACAAGTGCCTCTCCCCGGAGACCTGGCCCCACTACCGCGGCAGTGCCAAGCGAGGCGTCGAGGAGCTGATGCGCCACTTTGGCTTTGGCGAGGCGGAGTACAAGCTGGGTCTGACCAAGATCTTCATTCGCTTCCCCAAGACGCTCTTCACCATTGAGGACGCCTTTCAGAAGCAGAAGCACGCGCTGGCCACCATGATTCAGGCGCTGTACCGCGGCCACCGCCAGCGGCAGATCTACCTGCAGATTCGCCACTCCACCATTCTCCTGCAGGCGCAGATGAGAAAGGTGCTCGCCATTCGACTGCTGGAGAAGCGCAAGTGGGCCGTCCAGGTGGTGCGCAACTTTGTCAAGGGCTTCATGACGCGCAATGATGCGCCCAACAAGTTTAACATTTGGGTAATAGGGAATTGTTTAAAGGTTGCCAACGTGATGATCACTATTTTGTTTATACCCGCAACAGTTCCTCCGCCAAGTGAAGGTGGAGTGGTTGAAGAAGCTCTCCAAGAAGCTGCCCACCTCCATTCTGGACAACTCCTGGCCGCCTGCTCCGAGCAGCTGTCGGGAGGCGTCAATGCTGCTGCGCCCGCTGCACAAGCAGTGGCTGGTGCGCAAGTACATCTTCTCGCTCAGTCCGCAGCGGAAAGAGCTTCTGGGGGAGAAGCTGCTCGCCGAGGAGCTCTTCAAGGGAAAGAAGGCCTCCTATCAGAGCAGCATTGCTGAACCCTATGCCGCCAACCGACTAGGTACGTGTGGACATTTTCAGTAGTTTTCGATTGACTTTAACATTCTAACTGAAAACAGGTCAACGCGACGAGGAGATGCGCCGCAACTACTTTGAGCTGAAGATTAAGCGGGAGAATGAGAAGGCGCAGTACTGCTGTCTGGTGAACAAGTACGACCGTCATGGCTACAAGTTGCGCTCCCGGGTGCTCATTCTCACCAATCTAAAGTTCTACCTTCTGGACGATAAGAAGTTCACCGTGAAGGAGGCGATTCCGCTGTCGTCCATCACCGGCCTGCTGACGAGCAACAAGTCAGACAGCGTCTTTATCGTTCAAGTGCCAGCTGAAAACAAGGAAAAGGTCTGTGTACTGACTGGTTCTGATTGTGATCAGCGGTTTTCATGCTAACGCATAAAATTTAATTATAGGGTGATTTAATTCTCGAGTACAGTCCTCGACTGATTGAGCTTCTAACTAAAATAGTCAAAATTATTGGAAAGGACAAGCTGGTCATTTCTGACTCTGCCAAGTAAGTGATCAAGATTTGAAGTAGCTAATAAACAGTCCACTAACCTTTTTCTCCTATTCAGTGTTGAGCACACTATGGCCAATGGAAAACGCGGCCAGATTTGCTTTGCCGATGGACGCAGCTATGAGATTGTCAAGCGAAAAGATGGAATCCTCCAAGTGGTACGTCGTTGATCGGTTTTTTATTATTTTGACAGTCTATATTTACAAACTATTCTTCTTATTTTACAGAGCTCTGCGTCAGCTTGAGATGGCTGAACACCAAACGAGTGCCTTCATCTGTATGTAAATTGAGGCGCAACAACAACAAACAAAATAACAGCAACAGCAAACACTAGTCACAAGTCGAGGCGATTATGCGTCACTGGGCAATTTGCATAAGAGTATCGAGCTAATTTGATGTACCGTTGATATTATTCTGCATTCCTTCTTTTCAAACTAACAGTACTTTGTAACTGGCTTTTATAACACATAATAAAGTTTTAAAAACTTTTTTTACTAATTAAAGTAGTACTCGATGACGGTTGAGAATGCCGCAAAGCCGGCGGCTCCGAGGACGCCGCCTTTGATTCCGGCTAAAATGTAAAAACAGAGTGAGCACAAACTGCATAGTAAGGATTAGAGAGTAATGAACTCCTACCTCTGAGACCAATGGCACCGCCAACCACACCGCCGGCAAGTGTTCCATTCTTCCAGTCATGTGTCCCCCGATACTGAAAGAGAAAAGTTCAATATTAGTAAAGTTGCCAAACGCCCACCTCAATCTTACCGATTCAATTGCACATTCAGTCGCAGAGAACATGGCACCGAGCATGGCAAAGTTCTTGGCATAAGACATACTCTTGCCCTTCATTTCCCGTAGCACTTCTTTCACTGTTTGCGTTTGATTGTTCACCGGAGCCAGTTCTGGGCCGACACTGGCGGTGAAGAGGCCGACGGCAATACCGAGACCAAATCCAACTGCACCGCTCAGAACGGTCTTGAATCCACAGCTTTCAAAAAACTTTTCTACTCTTATTTCATTTTCCGGCCTGCAAGTGTAACTTTTTGATTAGTACAAACTCTTCATCAAATGACAACAAACCTAAGCGGCTGGGCGCCGAAGAAACCATTCGGAATGATCATATTCTCACGCCGCCTGTTTGGCCCGATTAAGGCATCCCGAAGCTCGCTGAACTTGATCGTATTATCTGAGGCTGATGGCGGAAGGCTCCCGCCGGCGTTTGAGCTGTCCATCCCGTGTTCAGCGGACACTGTGAAGATGCCAGAAGTTTTGAAATGCAAGAATTCAGCAATCAAAACATTGGCCAATCATATGATCATCAGTGGCGCGCACGTGTATCCATTTCACTACACTGAAGGTCGGCTTCTCGGGGTCTTCTGAGTACGCCGCTGGAAATGCACTATCGGAACAACAATCGATCGCTGGCTCTCACACAAGTGCACTTACTGGAAGCACAAACAGACAGACAGACAGACACTCTTTGACACCTCGTCTCCATTTGCAAGCTTCAGCAAGCACTACCACTGTTCAAGATAAACTCCTCATTCAAGCACTACCAGCATTGTCACCTGACTGCGATTTTACCTTAGAGCTTATTGTTTTATTGTTTGATTGAGAAGAGGAAGACGACCTGTATTACGCGTTCATTACATCATCTGTTCCAGTCCAACAGCTGTTTCTCGACCACGACCTCTAACTGGTTCGTCATTTTGTTCCAACGGGACATTCCCCCATTGCCACTCGTTGCTCCACTGTTGAGTCAGTCTGTCAGTAGGATTGAGTCAGTGCGGATTGGACAACACACACCTGTCTACTTATCACAACAAATGTAACGAGTATTTACCCTGATATCACTCCAGCTGATCCTCGCACACTTGTTGTCGTCTGCATCGACGATCAATCAGATCGCCGGCCAACTTAATAACTGCCTAAGTTAATGGTAATTTAATTGTTGGCCACCGTTGGCAGCTCATGTGATGATCAGAGACAGCAGTGCTGGACTGTGCTGTGCAGCAGCATCACAGGGTCGAATCGTCTGATCACCACCCTCAAGTAACAGGGAGTGCAGTGTAACCAAATCGCACTTTTGGTGTTGCCTCTTCTCCACTACAGCTATTTTTTGGATTGACGTCTTATTTGTGATTTCTTCTTCTTCCCTCTCTCTCCCACCACAGGCCGCCTGCTTCTCTCAGTCACTCACTCAAACACTCAAAGCCTCTCACTCAGACACTTACTCTCCTCGCGCCTTCGTCGTCGTTGTCGTCTTCTTCTTCTAGTCTGCACCAGTCAAGCTTGACCAAGCAACACAGCAAAACAGTAGTGCTACGGCTGCAGCTGAGCTTGTGGCCACATCACCGCCAGTCAGAACAGACATCCACTAGTTTTTCCTCGATCCTCGATCATTCCTTTCCATTTTGGCAATATTGATGCTCTCACTATACTGCCTCTTATCGACTTTTGTTGCTCCTCCGCTCACTGTTGATTACTGCTGCTAACTTCCCTCGAGGCTATCGTTTGCCCGCTCTAGGTACACCCTATGATAATCAACCATCCATCCACGACTCATTACTCGCCTGCATCTGCATCGATTCAGACGACAGTTTACCTCATCGACTAACTCTCACTCTCACTCTTCTCTTCTCTTCTCACCCGACTTTGGTCACCTTTTCGGGTCAGTACTAACTTTACTTTTTCGTCTATTTTTTCTCTTCTGCAATGTAGAACTACCTACGTACGGTGTAGATTAATGTACAAAACTTTTCCCTGCTTTGTGGTTAACTTTTGACAGACATTTTCACTTTCATTCACACTTCATCGCGATGTGTGCATGGATGAGCTTACGCTGCTGCTATTATTATTGCCCATTGCGTCACGATTTCATTACTATGCTTTTGCGCCTTTATCCCTACTGAGGCTGTCTGCGAATGCTACTTCGGTAGCATACTACCGACTGACTGATTTTAATCATCCATAATTGATCGTGACATCCTCGTGGCCACCTCGCCAACACGTTCATCCTCATTGCCAGCAGAATATATTTCTTTCTCTTTTAACCCGCAGCCTCTGTGGTGCACTACTCTGACTGGTTGTGCGCCGTCGACCAGGCCCTGCACATCGGGTGCCATCACCATAATCATCACCATCTTCACTAGTGTTGCTGTCAAAGGCCACGTAACATTGCCATATATCACGTGTTATTCCGCATCTTATCAATAAGTAATACTAGCAACACTATCTCCTGCCCGACTGTGCGGTGCAGAAAAGGAACATCGGAGTTTGGACAGCAGCGGCATTTGTGTATAGTATATCTGCTTGCAGTTGTCCTACCGACACAGAAACGACGTTGTCCGTCGTGTACTGATCATCACCTTCTCCATTTTGCTACCCACATAGCAAATTTAGTACTTGCACAAGCGCTACGACAGCTACAAGGTTGGCTGAACCCACCGCTGCCATCACTGCAGCGGCTGCTATCTTTGACGAGTGTCGTTCGCTTCTAATCAACGCGTACTTGTCCTTCGATAAGGCTAACCTTCCTTTTTACTATTGATCATCTCCCCAGAGAAGGTAGAGAGACTGTCGTCGGCTGTGTTCCTCCAGCACAGATGCCTCTCTTAAAAATACATTTTGCAAAATAGTGCTGCACATCATATTTAATGCAGTGTTGAGCACTTTGCACCAAGTGCAGAAACGTATTCTGCTCTTCATCACCATCATCACCACTACCATACAGACGAACGCCGCACATTCAGTTCAGCCTTTGCCACCTTCGCCGTCAGCAGCAGCAGCATCCACTGCACAGCAGCGGCAGAAAGAGTCTGTGACCACTTGTTGTGTTGGCTGGCGTCCTTTGCCGACTTAATGCACACACACCTCACCTCATTTTACTCGGCAGCTCATAAATTGGCAAATTACCTGCTTACTACTTTCTGACCACTCTGGGCAATATTTGTACAGAACACAGAGTACGTTGGGAGTTGTTGGCGAGATCTGCACGACCACCACTATGACCACTACGACTACTGTCTTTGCTGGCACTGTGGGCACTGCTACTGCCACTACTGCACCAGGGCGACCTTTTGCGGTCGACTTGACTCGTTTCCGTCCGAGCACTGCCAGCAGACAACCTTGCTGTGATCTCTCACACTCACACACAATGTCTGTCTGTGTGTGCTCTACGGGACTTTCTTGCACCAGTCTCTACTGGAGCACAGTTGATCAGCCTTTGCTCACTTTTTATTTATCGTTAACTAAATCGCCGGTCGATTAGTTTTCCTTGGATCCACAAACTGTTTGCTCGTTCATTGACAGTTATGGCGGCAAAAGTTCGTCTGTTGTCTTTGTTACGCTGAATGTACCCGGAAACTATGATCGATAGGCGACAAAAACTGTTTGTTAGCAACTAGCTAATTGTTTTCATATTTTTGCACGCATTAGGTGGTCATTACTTGATTACTCGCATCTTCCACGTCCCATCAGTTTTTCATCACCTCGAATTTCCAACTAATCTGAAAACTTTTTCTACTTTCAGCCATCTTTGGCCTCTTCCTTCGCATCTCATTGAAGCTCAATAGTCACAAATTAAATCACAATAATGGACGCTGAAAGCGCAACTGCGGCTACTACTGCTGCCGCTGCAGCAGCAAGTGATGTGAGCTTTCTGGCTCAGTTCAGCATGCTCGACTATGCAATTGTCATCGGAATCATCGGCTTCTCTGCTTACTACTTCAGGAATAGAAAAAAGACGAGCAATGAATTTGACGCCAGCTCAATCAGAACCTTTGCCCTCGAGTAAGTGTGACTGAGATTTATCCTCTACAAAAGAATCATTTAGCCTAAATTGTGACAATCTTTTTTTGGCAGACCAAGCATTCAGCGGAGCATGTCAGAATCGGGGTTTATTGCTAAAATGAAATCAGGAGTAAGTACTTCTAAAGCGCTAAAGTGGCTCACTGTCTAACTCCTTTCACCACCTTTAGGCGCGTAACATGGTCGTCTTTTATGGCTCACAAACGGGTACAGCGGAAGAGTTTGCGGCTCGACTGGCGAAGGAGGCAACGCGTTACGGCATGAAGGCCATGGTCGCTGATCCGGAGGAGTGTGAAATGGAGGACCTGAGCAAGTTGCACGAAATTGAAAACTCCATTTGTGTCTTCTGCGTGGCCACCTACGGCGAGGGCGACCCAACGGATAACTGTCAGGAGTTCTTTGAGTGGCTCAACAATGGCGGCACCAACTTGAGTGGTCTTCGATACGCGGTACGTGTAGCCTCGCATTTAGCTAAATATTTGCCTTCTTCCTCAACTCATTGCTCACTTTGCACTGTGTTTCCTTGCCCACAGGTGTTTGGTCTTGGAAACAAGACGTACGAGCACTACAACAAAGTGGGCTATTATCTTGACGAAAGACTGGCTCAACTGGGCGCTGAACGAGTCTTTGAGCTTGGCCTTGGCGACGACGACGGAAAGTGAGTGTTGCTACCTTTTTTCTTCCCCTGCCATTTTCCCATTCACACTGGCTGACTGACTGACGTTTATTTCCATTGACAGCATTGAAGAGGATTTCATTACCTGGAAGGAAAAGTTTTGGTTTTCCATTTGCGAGCAGTTTGGCCTGCAAACCGGCGAAGATATTAGCACCAGACAATATGAGCTTATTCTCCATGACGACCTGCCACAGGAGAAGATCTTTAATGGCGAAATTGCCAGACTCAACTCGTTCAACACGCAAAAGCCGTAAGTTTTGTTGAAACAACTTTTTAAAATCATTTGTGTTAATTATTCTCATTTCAAGGCCATTTGACATTAAGAATCCCTACCTTGCGCCAATCACCACTAACCGGGAGCTGTACAAGGGAGCTCGATCTTGTATGCACATTGAAATCGACATCAAGAACTCTAAGCTGAGGTATTTTCATTGTAAAAATAACTTTTTGTTGTCATTTTTCTAAACTTGCTTTTGTGCTTGCGCAGATATGAAGCTGGTGATCACGTTGCCGTCTACCCGCAAAACAACACCGAGCTAGTGGAGAAGCTTGGAAAGCTGTGCGGCGCCAACTTGGACACAGTGTTCACTCTGAGGAACTTGGATGAGGACAGCTCAAAGAAAAATCCCTTCCCCTGTCCGACGACCTACCGTGCAGCTTTGACCTACTACGTCGACATTACCAGCACCCCACGTACCCACGTACTTAAGGAAATCTCCGACTATGCCACCAACGAGGAGCAAAAAGAGCAGCTCAAGAAGATGAGCTCCTCCTCTGACGAGGGCAAGGCACTCTACTCTGAATGGATCATCAAGAGCTGTCGCAGCATCGTGCACGTCCTCGAGGACATGGACTCTGTGAAGCCGCCCATTGACCACCTGCTGGAGTTGCTGCCTCGTCTGCAGGCTCGTTACTACTCCATCTCGTCGTCACCGAAGCTGTACCCGGACTCGATTCACATCACCGCCGTCGTCGTGGAGTACGAGACGAAGACGGGTCGAACGAACCGCGGCGTGGCCACCAGCTGGCTGAAGGAGAAGGAGCTGCTCACCGGTCCGACCATTCCGGTGTTTGTGCGTCGATCGCAGTTCCGCCTGCCGAACAAGCCTCAGGTGCCCATCATCATGATCGGTCCGGGCACTGGGCTGGCGCCCTTCCGCGGCTTCGTCCAGGAGCGCCAGTGGATGATTTCGGAGAACAAGCCAGTGGGCGATACGATCATCTACTTTGGCTGCCGTAAGAAGTCAGAGGACTACCTGTATCAAGAGGAGCTGGAGAAGTACTGCGAGACGAAGGCCATCACTAAGCTCTATCTCGCCTTCTCCCGTGATCAAGACCACAAGGTGTACGTGACACATCTGCTGAAGCAGAACATGAAGGAGACCTGGGATATAATTGGCGAAAAGAATGGCCACATTTACATTTGCGGGTAAGTTTTCTTTCCTTTTTGTGCGTACAGCTGCACTGCCCTTATCTAATACTTTCCCTCTTCACTTTTTTTCCACTCTACCCAGTGACGCGCGAAGCATGGCCAAGGAGGTGAAGGAAATCATCCTGGAGACTATTCAGACGCAAGGCAACAAGTCCAAGCAGGAGGCAGAGGACTACCTGAAGCGAATGGAGTCGCAGAGACGCTACTCGGCTGATGTCTGGAGTTAAGCGGTCGGCGTCGAGCGGCTAATAGCGGGGAGGATGTTTTGTGCGCACGAAATCTGTTTTGTTTGCGTATTTTTAGGTTTTTCTATAATTATTACATTATAAATAATTATTATCACTATTACTATACAAAACTACTTCTTTACTTCTTTACACTTTATTCTTCACATTTTGTAGAAGTGCAATCGCTTCGTCCGAAGCTTCGTCTTTGCTTTCCATTGTATCGACACACCACTGAACATATGTTTCTTCTTACTAGATCGACCACAACATGTACATTTCTTCTTCTTCTTACATTTTATTATAAACTTATTATCGATTGTTACTCCCTTCTTCTTCCTCTTCTTTGCATACGCGTGTCTGTTCCTGCGGGATCGATTAGAATTCGCTACCTTTGAGTAGAGTAGGGCACAGTTTCTGTGTCGCCTTCATTCACCTGCTTCACTTGCTCTCTCGAATCGGGTGCAATTTTTCGGTGACGATGGCAACGCATGCGCCGCCGCTGTACCAATTCGGGTTGTCTGTCTGACTGTGACTGTGCGGCTGTGTTTGTGTGGATTCGTCCATTCGAGCGCGGGTACACTGGCGATGGTTCGGTCGGTGCACTTCACCAGCTGCTTAGCCTGATACACTGCCTTTTCGCTGCTACTGCTGCTGTTTAGGCTGTTTCTGTTTCGGTTTCGGCTGCTGCTGCTTCAGCTGCTTTAGCTTCTCTCGGATGCACCGAATCTACCTGAAAGAAAGACTCCGGATGCAGTGGATGTCTCGGTCCTCCCTCTGCGCCCAGTCTCTCTCACTCTCATTCCTTCGCTCTTAGTGGCCAGCTCTACTCTTCTCTTCTCCCGACGACGACGGCGACGCCAACTCGTTCCAATTTGTTTGTAGCGGCACTTCATCAATTTGACTGCACTTTTCAGCGCTCTCGCTGGCC